TGCCTCTTCCTTTGTAGGGGGTGCCTGTTGTTGCAGGGGGTGCTCAGCATGTGCCTCCGGATGTCGTCCATTCTACTGATCCATACGGCTCATCTGGTTGCAACGGCTATGTGAGGGCAGAGGATACGAAGGCGGTTGTACCCATCATTTTCAGAAAAGGAAGATTGAAACAAGTCTCTAGTATGAACATGAGTGAGGAGAAATTGAACTCTAACCTGATAAATTTTCTCCTGATAAATATAGTTTATTAGATTCTAGACTATTAACTCCAATATTTAAAAAATTTTTTTTAACGTTTATTTATTTTTGAGACCGAGAGAGACAGAGCATGAACGGGGGAGGGGCAGAGAGAGAGGGAGACACAGAATCGGAAGCAGGCTCCAGGCTCTGGGCCATCAGCCCAGAGCCCAACGCGGGGCTTGAACTCACGGACCGCGAGATCGTGACCTGAGCTGAAGTCGGACGCTTAACCAACTGAGCCACCCAGGCGCCCCTATTAACTCCAATATTAAACCCAAGATACATTTGTTAACTTTAGTGGTTAAAACAGCAAGTCCCATTCTCCATGGGGCATTATACCATTTTCTTTATCACTTAGGTATTCTGTTAGTTCGACACCATGGGAAAAGGGATGCTAGAATAGAGAATTTAAGGGATGGCAAGAATTCTGAAATATTCACAACCTATAGTCTTGGATAGAACACACAATGTAGCTAGTGGGGTTGTGAAAGAACCTGTCTGGACACCGGAGACCTGGGTTCTATCCCATGTAGCACAGTTTATAAAAACCAGACAGACCTAGGTTCCAGTCCAAATTTTGCTGCTTACTGACATTGATCAAGTCATTTAAACACCCTCAGCCTCAGTTTCCTGAGGAAATAAAATGGAAACAATGGTGGTTGTGAGAACTAAGTGATTTAATATGTGTAAAGCACTTAGCCTTGAGCATAAGATAAGGGGAAACCCCAGCAGATGATGATGGTGGTGGTGGTGATAACAATGAAACTAGCGATGATGTGATATGATGTGATGATGATGGTGGTGACGATGGAGGTGATGGTGATGATGGTGATGGTGATGATGATGATGATGGGGTGATGATGAGGATGGTGATGACGGTGATCGTGGTGGTCATGATGGTGATGGTGATAATGGTGCTGGTGGTCATGATGGTGATAGTGGTGGTGACAATGATGATGATGATGGAGATGATGGTGATGATGATGGTGATGATGAGGGTGATGATGAGGATGGTGATGAGGGTGATGATGAGGATGGTGATGATGGTGATCGTGGAGGTGGCGATGGTGATGATGGTGGTCATGATGGTGATGACAATGATGATGATGATGGAGATGATGGTGATGATGATGGTGATGATGAGGGTGATGATGAGGATGGTGATGATGGTGATGATGATGGTGATGGTGGTGGTGACAATGATGATGATGATGGAGATGATGGTGATGATGACGGTGATGAGGGTGATGATGAGGATGGTGATGATGGTGGTCATGATGGTGATGGTGGTGGTGACGATGATGATGATGGAGATGATGGTGATGATGAGGGTGATGATGAGGGTGATGATGAGGATGGTGATGATGGTGGTGGTGACAATGATGGTGGTGATGGTGATGTGATGGTGATGATGATGATGTGATATGTGACGATGATGTTGGTGATGATGATGAATTAGAGAAGAGGAGCAGACAGAGGAGAAAGGAAGAGGAAATGAAGGAGACTGTAGTTGTGATGGTGGGGATAGACAGTGGTCGTGACAGGGGCAACTCCCAAGTCTACCAGTAAGAAATAGTTCCCTGGACCCGGAACTTTGCCTGCTGCACAACAGGCACTCAGTAAACACTAACTGAATGAAGCAGTGCTCTGATAATTTCTAGAGCTCACCCAGCTCCACATCATTCAATAATCCTGTGAATGTCATAATCTTTCCTGGATCTCAACATTTAAACTTGTGATATTAAAAAAATGAGGGGCACCTGGTTGGCTCAGTCGGTTAAGTGTCCAACTTGGGCTCAGGTCATGGTCTTGTGGTTTGTGGGTTTGAGCCCCACGTCGGGCTCTGTGCTGACAGCTCAGAGACTGGAGCCCATTTCAGATTCTGTGTCTCCTTCTCTCTGCCCCTCTCCCTCTTGCGCTCTGTTTCTCTCTCTCTCTCTCTCTCTCTCTCTCTCTTTCAAAAATAAACATTAAAAGGGTGCCTGGGTGGCTCAGTCAGTTAAGTGTCCGACTTCAACTCAGGTCATGGTCTTGCTGTTTGTGAGTTCGAGCCCTGTGTCAGGCTCTGTGCTGACAGCTCGAAGCCTGGAGCCTGCTTCAGATTCTGTGCCTCTCTCTCTCTCTCTCTCTCTCTCTCTCTCTCTCTCTCTCTCCCCCCTCCCCCACTCACACTCTGTCTCTCTCTCAAAAATAAATAAACATTAAAAAATTTTACAAAAGAATGAATTATTTATGGTAATTGTGAAAAATCAATTATAAACAATCACTGCAAAGCTACTTCATTCATTTTAAGCTACTGAATTTTAGGGAACAGGAAGAAAGGGAGTGATCAGGAGGAGAAATGAATGAAAGAATAGTGTGGGGGGGACAGCTAACAGTCATGTGTAGGGAAGAACAATCATGTTCCCTTACACTCTGGATGGTGCCTGGTCTTTGGGGAGACCGGACCACCTGCTTACTATGCAGCAAAACATCAAGCTCAATGTGCACATTTGTAAAGAAAGAGTACTCCTAAGAAAGCTCCTGGACACCAAAGCCATGCTTGTTTAGAACTGTAGGTGGTCTTCATGAATAGAATTAATCTGCCAAATAGGCAGGCGGGGCATTTTCTGCTGGGCATGAGGCCACTTCTCAGTTGCTTGTATTAACGCCAACTTTGTGGATAAGGAAATGTTGGCTTGTTTCCTCCGGCCAGAGAGCCAGCACACCTCTGGAAGAGCTCACTCATCTGCAGTGTGAATTAGCTCATGAGATACAAACTCCTTACGACCAACACAGTTCCAGCAGAAACTCACCTGCTCTTGTGGCTCCAGATCTCTGCTTACTTATTTTTTATTTTCATTGTTTTGCTTACAGAAAGCTAAGTGAGGACAAGTCAGCAACTATGGGCACCCTAACAAACAGATATAGGTATATTATTTTAGGACTTCACGGAGTCTTTTCAGGGCTCCCTCTGACCTGCTCTCAGCCCCATAACTCTGGTTCTGTGTTCCTCTTCTCCAACTTGTTTTATGCCTAATTCTGCCTCTCTCCCAACTGTTCTGCCTCTCTCCCTCCCTTCCTTTCTCTCTTCCTTTCTCTCCAGTTGCTTTTCTTCATGACCCATGGAGACTGTCTCTCAGCTAATCTTTGGTTTTCCCATTCAAGGTTTAGCACATTCTAGACTGACATTACAGAGTCTATTCTCTTCTTTCTATAGTTGGTTAACTCCTAGCCATTCTTGAAGACTAAGTTTCCTCACCATCTGTGACATGCCTTCTCTGTGCATTTTGTGTCGGAATCAGCACTGGTCACTCATTGTTTGTTCTGCTTCTCGAATATGGCTTTACACTCATTAAGAAGAGAGTAATCACCTTTCATTCCCAAGATTGGGCACGGAGCATGCTAGTTTCCACCTGCCTATGCCATGGGCAAACACAGACTGAAACCAGGTGCTAGATCTCCCTCAGAACCAAAGACAAAATTACTTCCTTCATCAAACAAAAAGACCCTGGCTCTGTCCATGTTTGGGATTTCTGTGATCACCCCCCCCACACACACACACACCTGCTATTCCCAGCATCCTGCTGTCATTTCTCCCCAGTTCCTCTGTAGAAAATACATCCCCTCTGGGATGCATCTACTTCTCTCCATTTTAAACAAGCTAATCTGAGGATCAGACACGAATACTAAGGTCACAGTTGACGACAGAAGAAAAGCTATAGCTCTAGTAGGAGACTAATGGCCAAGAGTTGTTGCTAGTTGATTTTTGAGAGTTTGCGAAGCATGAGAAGCATCTGAGAGGCAGTGTGACAGCAAGAGAGCACAATAACACGGTGTCACTCAACAAGACAGTGGTGGGAAGGGCACTAAATGGGAAGTCAGGAGACAGGCCTCCAAATACATCTGTGGCAACAGTGAGCTCTGTGACCTCAAAAAAAAAAACCCCACTTAACCTCCCTGGTCCTCGTTTATTATAAAAGCCAGATTTGAACTAGACCTCGAGCGTTCCACTAGAAAAGCTCTTTGATCTGAGGATTAATTTTCAAGCGCATCCCATGGAGGCTCCATCAGTGAAAACATCTGTGGAGATAACGGGAGAGGGGCGCGGACTGGACTGCTTCAGGGGAGGGAAGAAAGCCCTCAGAGGATGGTGCAGGTCATTCCCACCTTCCCTCCCATGACTGAGCTCTAAAATGAGCTCAGCCCCAACTAGATGAAATGGATTGTGTCCTGGACCAAAAACTGCATCACGAACGTACTGCTGTTTGCCTCCAATTCTGTTTTGTTGTTTTAAAACTCTCCCCAAGCAAGACACGTAGATTACATCCAGACTGACGTTCCAGAGGAGAATGAATTTAGCTGCAGATGTGCACCAGGCTCCACAGTTCATTGGTGGCACTCGGGAAGAATCCTTGGAGTTCCCTTCGGCCCCTCTATCCAGTGGGGAGTGAAAGCAGGGGCCGTACAACAGGGAATAAAGAACACGGAGAAGGAGGAATGCGCAGCTGTGTCTCTGCCTGTTCCTGTTGCTTAGCAACACCTCCCATCTCCATCTGAGAAATAATGATTCAGGGAGGTGACGCAGAGGACCCATTTCTCATGAAGGCACAGCCCCATTTTACCAGCTACACATTTTCTTAGAATGATAATAAGATGATTATCACAGCAAGATCTCTGCACACCACCTCTACAGCCAGAGAGAGAACGTGACACGCTAGCTACCAAACCCAAACTAGGGAAGAGGAGCTTCCCGTGCACACGCAGGGCTCAGGACTCACCGCTTATCCACTTGGCCTCGGGGTCATGAATTTTGAAATCATCACTGAAGAGATCTTCCACTGTGACCTTCTTCTTCTGAGACAGACTATTATCTTCCGCTAGAAAAGAACATGGCAAATAGTTGAGCCTTTTATTTGTTGGTAGAAAGAGAGGACCATAAAGCATTCTGGTTGCCGTTCAGAACTAGTACGTATGGTAAAACATATACTTTCGACACATAACATAAAGGCTGAACGAAAGCCAGTCACGCTTTTTTTTTTTTAATTTTTTTTTCAAGGTTTATTTATTTTTGGGACAGAGAGAGACAGAGCATGAACGGGGGAGGGGCAGAGAGAGAGGGAGACACAGAATCGGAAACAGGCTCCAGGCTCTGAGCCATCAGCCCAGAGCCCGACGCGGGGCTCGAACTCACGGACCGCGAGATCGTGACCTGGCTGAAGTCAGACGCTTAACTGACTGCGCCACCCAGGCGCCCCACGCTTCTTGTTTTCAATTAAAATATCAACAGCTGCGGTAAGGAGACCATGATGCAGGAAAATGGCACCCTTTCTCTCCCTCTACTTGAACACATAAATGATCATATTTCTTAGCAACGGAGGTAAACGTTTCAAGACTGATTTATGAACAACAAGGTGGGAATGGTCAAGAGAGGAAGGAACAAATGTCCAGAATGGATCTCAACTTTATTAAATGCCAACTACTGGGAGCACGTTGGGTGCTGGGGATGAAAAGGCAGGTATTTATTCTCCACATGCCTCGCTTGTCCCTGGCTGTCTCTGGGCTGCGAATCAGTTCCTGTTCAGACAGGCTCACACCTCAAATGTCTGTGTGCACACTACCAGATTCTGGCTTGCTTCATCTCGATCACTTGGCAGTAAGCACATGAGATGAGCCTTGAAGGTACTAATCTAATATCCATCCCAAGAGGAGATGTTTAGTTAATGGCACCAGTGGGTGAGACTGTAGAAATCTGGCGATGTCTTCGCCAGAGGTCGAAGCCAACAGATTAAACCCACAAGGATAGCACCCCAAACCGCTCTCACTTCTGTTATACTGGTAACATTATTAACCATTTCTGATGTACGTCATCCATCTAGAATTAGGCACTTCCGTTCCTGCCTTCCTGAATAGAAGGTGCCAACTTTTGGGGGCACTTCTCTTGAAGACTTAGGGCCCTCAGCCATTAGTTCTATGTTGTGCTGGTGGGTGCAGCTGTCCTCAGTGCCAACCAAGGTGTTTGGTGTGTGTGCATCCTATGTGAGGTGGTTCCAGATCCACGTTGGTTTTACATTTTCGTGTCTGGTTGTCATGTCTGCCTTTCTTTCCAATTTCTGCCTGTTGAGCCAGCTTCCACTGTGTGGGCTGTCACAGAACATGCCCTCAACAGTGCCCTCTGCCTCTTTTAATTTTCTGTTTCCAGATCTGTGGCAGGTTGGGAAAACAACAAGGATTTTTGTTAGATGACATAACATGAATAAATACCCTCTGAATGAAATCCTCAAAGCTTCTTGTAGGATTCTAGTGCACAGATTGTTTTTTAATTTTTAAATTTTTATTCATTTTATTTTTGAGAGAGAGCACGTGTGTGCAAGCGGGAAGGGGGGGAGAGAGAGAGAGAGAGAGAGAGAGTGAGAGAAAGAGAGAGAGAGAGAATCTCAAGCAGGCTCTGTGCTGTCAGGGCAGAGCCTGAAGCGGGGCTCAAACCCACAAACCATGACCGAAGCCAAAATCAAGAGTCAGACATTTAACCACCTGAGCCACCCAGGTGCCCCATCTAGCACATAGGTTTTATTACATCTCCTATATGGTTTCTTTCTTTTGGCCTCTTTGGATGTTATCGATTACTGAAGTTGTCAGAAAAGTCATGTGTTACTTTGTGCATTGACTGATTTCTTGAATATCACAGAGGACTAATGTGTGTAAAAGTCTTTCGAAAATTACAGAATGATACCTTTCAAAGTGGCCTTCTCATTAAACCTGAGTGTATGTGGAGCTCTCCCCGGTGCTGAACAAAACATGTTAAACTAAACCCAATTCTCCCCTGTAGGACCTTTCCATCTGCAACTGAAGCAGCCCCGGAAAAAGACACAAATACAGTGCATTTCAGTATGAAAAACAAACAATAAGTGAACATTTTAAAGACAACCAGACATCGATCTAGTGAAGTTACACTTTGGTCCAGTGATTAAGAAACATATTTGCAACTAGTTGATGAATAGGTCCTGGAGATCTAATGCACAGTTTATGGAATATAGACAATAATCCTGTATTATAAACATAAAAATTGCTAAGGGATTAGATCTTAATTATTCCCACTGAAAAAAATAAATCATAATTTTGTGACCTGACAAAGGTATTAGCGAACTCTTCAAAGGCAATCATATTGCAATATATAAATGTATCCAATCAACAAGTTGCACACTTTAAACTTACACAATGGTACATGTCAACTATATTTCAAAAAAAGATTAAAACAATAAAGCAAAAACTAAGCATAGAAATTTCTGAAGCATATAGTCAGGAAACAAACAGTCCTATTAAAGCTTAAACTTTATCTGAGTAACCTTTGCTACTGTAGGATGCTTCTAGCTCACCTTTTGAAGTAACCATGCATCTCATGAGAAGAGAGTAGAAGGCTGCAATTTACACAAACTTTGGGTAAAAGATGAAAAAGGTACATAATTCACTTTCTGAAAAATCCCTCTTTTTACAAAACACTGTTCTATTAATCTACAAATGCGTTTCACTTTTTTAAAAACTATTGCTTTGTTTTTAAATTTTTGTAATGTGTACTTATTTTTGAGAGAGAGAGAGAAACAGAGCGTGAGCAGGGGAGGAGCGGAGAGAGAGGGAGACACAGAATCCAAAGCGGGCTCCAGACTCTGAGCTGTCAGCACAGAGCCCGACGTGGGGCTCGAATTCACAAACCGCAAGATCACGACCTGAGAGGAAGTTGGACGCCCAACTGACTGAGTGCCCACTATTGCTTTGTTTTTAAAAGGTTATTTTAACATCATGACTTTTACCTAGGGACGGTTTGTGGTGAAGGCGTTGTGATGTACGCCATGAAACTGCTCTGGTGACACCAGGACACTGGACTCTGTCAGGGATCGATGCTCCCCGCTGGCCTCTCTGGACCTTGATGGCTTGTTCACACATTCGGCTGCTATCTAATGAAATCACTGAGTAGTACTTTGATGCATTTCAAAGATCCTTTGAGGTGGTGACAAGCATGCACGACTGTCACGCCCCAGGAACCAGCCTGAGCCTGAGGAATCACAAGGGAAGACTTTATGGAACTCAGAGAGCCACAATGTTGCAAGAGTGTCAGTGCTGAGAGCAGGGGGGCTGGCCCTGAGGAGGGAGAATGAAATGGGAGGAACTCTGGAGAGAATTCCCCAAGGAAAGCGCCTGCTAGCCCAGATAAAGACACAAAAGAAGAACTTTTGAGCTAGAAGGAGGGCAAGGGCATGAAGGTATCAGTGAACGCGGCATTCTCAGGAAATCGTGTGTGCTGTTGCTGGTGCAGGAGACAGTGTGACGGAAATATCGAGAGACGAAGGCAGAGTCTCTCATTATATTTGATATTCTGAAATTTCACGAGAAAATGTCCACTTGTGGGGAGGCTGGGTGGCTCAGTCGGTTGAGCATCCGGTTCTTGGCTTGGGCTCAGGTCATGATCTCCGGGTTGCTGGGATTAAGCCCCTGGCAGGGCTCTGTGCTGACAATGCGGAGCCTGCTTGGGATTCTCTGTCTCCCTCTCTGTCCCTCCCCCACACTCTCTCTCTCTCTCTCTCAAAATAAATAAACATTAAAAATAAGATAACAAATAACAAAAAAAAGGAAAGAAAATGTCTACTTGTGGATTTTATTTAAAAATCATGCTTACCACCCAATAACGTTATCAGTCTAAGAATCACTTTCTCCTTATCAGGAAGGCTGTAGTGATGATCTCATTTAATACTATTTCTCCTTCAACCTAGCCCTCCCTTCCAGGGTGCGGGCGGACCCTGTGTGAGAGCTGTGGGGTCCCACCACCACCTCCCTGGTGTTTTCTCCGTGTTTTCCACATTTTTATTTCTTTGGGGGAATTTGCATGATTTCTTCCTTTCGATTTTTCCACCTTGTTACTGTTTTTAGCATTATTTAGAGAGCTTCATCCTGCAACTGACTTTTAAAATTTCAAACAATTACATTTTAGTTTCTATTATTCCTAAACAGCTCCTTTTCAAGATCATCTACTCTTCTAGTTGTAAGCTCCTCTATCACATTGATAATTTTTTTTAAACCTAAAATGTCATTTTCTGATTGCCCTATTCATTTATATTTCTTTGGACTTAAGTTCTCGTGTGTGTTAAGCTAGTGTTCTGCTTTGTAGGGGATAGTTTCTGGGGGTCCTTGTATTTCTTAGTAGTAAGCTTCTGCCCTGCAAGTGTCCTGGGTCACGAGAGACCCTTGGTGGTGTGGTTGTGGTCAATGTCCTGGGCACTTTGAGGCTCTGTCTGGGCCCCGTGTGGCCATTTGGGCTGGACCTGGGCAGCCCTACGTGGCTGATGTGATTCAAGAGCCTCTGAACACGAACCCAGTTTTCAGGCAGGATGCACTTGTCCCATCCCTGGCCCCTCACGAACACCAATATCCTAGCCCCTCCTGTTGGATCGGACGTCATTCTCTGCCCCTTGAGGGTGGCAGGAGTTTGGTCTTACTTGGTACTTTAGGTTTTTGCCTGGTCCTTCTTTCGAAGACACCTTTCTGCTCCAGGTATATACAACACTCTTGTTTTTGAGTGCAGCTATGTTTTTATTTATTTTCTCTCATCTCTACTTGTTTCAACCCAAAAGGGAAAGATTTCTGTGCTCAATCTGACATCTTAAACCAGAAGTCAACATGCAAATGGAGATACACAAAGTGGCCCGTGGCTCTTCCGGATTGGCTTTCACCCCTAAGGCAACTTGGGGATGAATTTCATTTAGCCCCAGAGTCAGATGACCACGTAGCACTTGCAAAGCACGGGGCATCCCAGTCAGCTCACCGGCATGCAAAGGTACGCCATAGTCTGTAGTGAGGCTATTATCTTTATGTAGGTCAGAATATAATG